GTTTAGCCTCTGGGCTTAGGACAGAATGGTTTTTCTGCTCTGAAAATGGACTAAGAACTGGAGGCATCCCTCAGACAAGGAGTAGAAACTTAATGGGTAGCTCAATAGGATGTGGACTTTTTGAATGAGGAAGAGAAAGATGTCTCTCTTTGCTATTAGAAAGATGAAACAATTCGGTACCTACTTCTCCAATAAAGGCAAACTGAGCAGATGGGAACAAAGTAGATGGGTAGGATTTCTAGGGTTCCAAGGCCATAGAAACTTCTAGAAGATGAACAAAAAGATTTTTAAAAAGAGAACAGGGAATATTTTTATTGAGCACCAGGAGCTTTATTTGTATTATCTCATTTAATCTTCACAGCATCCTCATGGGGTGGGTATCTTCACTTCCACTTAAAGCTAGGGAGACCCACTTCCTTAAAGCAATGCAGCCTTAGGTGTGGTGAGGTCAGTGTTAGAAGGCAGGCTTGTCTGCTTTTTCCACTGCTTTACACTGCTTCTCGAGGCAAAGTCAACCCAGGATTCCTGGAAACTAGGAGAAGAATCTCTGGGGGCCTTTTGGGCAGGGGTCCCCAACCCTCCAACCACTGACTGGTACCGGTCTGGGGCCACACAGCAGGAGGTGAGTGACGGGTGAGCAAGCGAAGCTTCATCTGTATTTACAGCCACTCCCCATCGCTAGCATTATTGCCTGAGCTCCGCCTCCTGTCAGATCAGTGGCGGCATTAGATTTTCATAGGAGCACGAACTCTGCTGTGAACTGCGCATGTGAGGGATCTAGGTTGCGCGCTCCTTATGGGAATCTAATGCCTGATGATCTGAGGCGGAGCTGAGGCAGTGATGCTAGCGCTGGGGAGCGGCTGCAAATACTGATTATCATTAGCAGAGGAGTTTGACTGCACAGTGACCATAATAAATCAATTGCTTGCAGACTCATATCAAAACCCTATCAGTGAGGGGCAAGTGACAGTTAAGCTGCATCTGGTGGCAGGCTTTAAGTCAGAATCCAACACTTACTTTAGTCCATGCGTGGCCCACCCATTATTTTATTTACCGTTTCCGTCCACACCTCTTTCCCGTACTGCGCACTTGTCTCAGTCACGGTTTTGGTAAGCCCTCAAGCTAACCCTAGCCAAAATAGGTAAAAAACAAACAGTGCTGGAGAGCTTCTTTTGAAAAGAGGAAGGGCTTCCCTGGTGGCGCAGTGGTTGAGAATCTGCCTGCCAATGCAGGGGACACGAGTTCGAGCCCTGGTCCGGGAAGATCCCACATGCCATGGAGCAGCTGGGCCCATGAGCCACAACTACTGAACCTGCGCGTCTGGAGCCTGTGCTCCACAACAAGAGAGGCTGTGACAATGAGAGGCCCACACACTGCAATGAAGAGTGGCCCCTGCTTGCCGCAACTAGAGAAAGCCCTAGCACAGAAACAAAGACCCAACGCAGCCAAAAATAAATAAATTAATTAATTTAAAAAAAAAAAGAGGGAAAGACCCAATGATGAGACAGCAGAAGACTCTAAGACTGCCAACAAAAAGAAAGCTTCATTTTAAAGGAAATACCAAGAGTCCTACTTACATTATGGGTTCATTGCAACAGGTGATTCACATTCTCCAAACCTGCTTTGTATAATTTGTGGCAACTGGCTATCCAACGGAGCCATGAAACCTTCAAAACTGCTTCGCTACATGGAGACCAAGCACCCTGCGTTAAAAGACAAGCCTTTGGGGACTTCCCTGGTGGTGCAGTGGTTAAGAACACACCTGCCAATGCAGGTGACACGGGTTCGAGCCCTGGCCTGGGAAGATCCCACATGCTGCGGAGCAACTAAGCCCACAACTACTGAGCCTGAGCTCTAGAGCCCGCGAGCCACAACTACTGAGCCCACACGCCTAGAGCCCCTGCTCTGCAACAAGAGAAGCCCGCGCACCGAAATGAAGAGTAGCCGCCTCTCACTGCAACTAGAGAAAGCCCGTTCGCAGCAACGAAGACCCAACGCAGCCAAAAATAAATAAAGAAATAAATTTATATATAAAAAAACCCCCACAAGCCTTTGGAGTTTTTCAAAAGAAAAAAACGTGAACACGAAGAACAGAGACAATCATTGAAGGCTACCACTTCATCAAATATGTCTGCATTGAGAGCATCATTCTTAGTGGCTAACTGCATTGCTAAAGCTAAGAAGTCCTTTACTATTGGTGGAGAGTTAATCCTGCCTACTGCTAAGGATATGTGTCATGAACTTTCAGGAGTGGCTGCAGTTCAAAAGGTGGCACGTGTTCCTCTTTCGGCTAGCACCATAACTAGACGAATTGATGAAATAGCAGACGATATTGAGGCACAGTTGTTAGAGAGGATTAATGAGTCACCGTGGTACTCAATCCAGGTTGACGAGTCTACCGATGTTGACAACAAGGCAACAATGCTTGTTTTTGTGCAATATATTTTTCAGGAGGATGTGCATGAGGATATATTATGTGCACTTTTGTTGCCAACCAATACCACAGCTGCAGAACTATTCAAGTCTTTGAATGATTACATATCAGGAAAACTGAATTGGTCATTTTGTGTTGGTATATGCACAGATGGAGCGGCTGCCATGACTGGACGGCTTTCTGGTTTCACTACAGGTCAAAGAGGTCGCTTCTGAATGTGTGTCTACGCACTGTGTCATCCATAGCAAAATGCTGGCTAGCCGAAAAATGGTACCTGAACTTAACAATGTTTTGCAGAACATGGTTAAAATGATCAACGACATTAAAGTACATGCCCTTAACTCACATCTGTTCGTGCCCCTCTGTGAGGAGATGGACCCAGAGCACACACGTCTTCTCTTATACACAGAAATGAGATGGCTTCTAAAGGTAGATCACCGGCCAGAGCTTTTGAGTTATGAGAGCCGCTCCAGGGATTTCTTGTAGAAAAACAGTCACCACTGGCAGCACATTTCAGTGACACAGAATGTGTCGCAAAACTTGCTTACTTGTGTGACATATTCAACCTGCTCACCGAACTCAGTCTGTCACTTCAGGGGAGAACAACAACTGTGTTCAAGTTGGCAGATAAAGTGACTGCATTCAAAGCCAAACTGGAATTATGGGGGTGACGAGTGAACATTGGGATTTTTGACATGTTTCAAACATTAGCAGAGATTTTGAAAGAGACTGAACTGGGGCCTTCTTTCTCCCAGCTGATGCATGATCACCTATCTCAGCTTTCAAAAGAGTTTGAGCATTACTTCCCAACCACAAAAGACTCCCGAACTGGGAAGGAATGGATCTGTAACCCATTTGTGAATAAGCTGGGTGAATCGACTTTGTCTGCGCTAGAAGAGGATCAATTGCTTGAGATCGCAAATGATGGTGGCCTTAAAAGTATGTTTGAGACAACTTCAGACCTCCATACATTCTGGATTAAAGTCAAGGTGGAATATCCTGAGATTGCCACAAAAGCACGGAAAAGCCTGCTTTCATTTCCAACATCCTATCTTTGTGAAGCAGGGTTTTCTGCAGTGACAGCAACCATAATGAGATCATGGAGTAGACTGGACATAAGCAACACGCTTTCGGGCTTCCCTGGTGGCACAGTGGTTGAGAGTCCGCCTGCCGATGCAGGGGACATGTGTTCGTGCCCTGATCTGGGAAGATCCCACATGCCGCAGGGCGGCTGGGCCTGTGAGCCATGGCCGCTGAGCCTGTGCATCTGGAGCCTGTGCTCCGCGGTGGGAGAGGCCACAGCAGTGAGAGGTCCGCGTACTGCAAAAAAACCAAACCAAAACAAAAAAACACACTTTGGGTGTCACTGTCTCCCGTCACCCCCAGATGGGACCATCTAGTTGCAGGAAAACAAGCTCAGGGCTCCCACTGATTCTGCATTATGGTGAGTTGTAGAATTATTTCATTATGTATTACAATGTAATAATAACAGAAATAAAGTGCACAGTAAATGTAAAGCGCTTGAATCGTCCCGAAACTTCACCCCACCCCACCCCCCAGTCTGTGGAAAAAGTGTCTTCCACGAAACCGTTCCCTGGTGCCAAAAAGGTTGGGGACCGCTGCTGTAGGGCGTCTTGGCCAAGGGCCCTCCCTTGCTCAGTCAAAGGCTACACTGGGAAGTAGGTCATGAGAGGAGCTGGGGAGTCTGGGAATGGTCCCAGCTTAGATCCAGGGGCCTCCGGATCAGCTCACAGCAGGTGGAGGTGAGGGAACTCATGACCTGGGTCACCCTTTCTGCGGCCATTGGATCTAGGTTTAGATCTCCATGCTGCAAGTGCACCCATTCCTATGAACTTGTGAGTTATTGTAAGAAAGAGCCCTTTGAACAATCCCCAACTTTGTTTTGGCTAAAAGGAAAAAGTATTTCCTCTCTTGGTTCGTTTAGACTAGAGGCGGGCTCAGTCTCTGCCCGTGGCCAGATGCGGTGGTGGCCTCAGGCAGGGGATGTGGTATAACGGGGACAGACCATAACTGGGAACCTGGGACATGAAAGTCACACATTTCATGTTTTAGGCTGATTCTATCCCTCCTGCCCTGTTCTTAGGTCCTTTAAAGCCTCAAACTATGACACAAAAGCAGAAACAGACAAGTAATTAGACCATGTTTAGGATTGCTACCCAGTGTTTCTTGAGCTTTTCTTACTCCTGTGTTTTTTTTTTGTTAATTGTTGGCCGCGCTGGGTCTTCTTTGCTGCGCACATGATTTCTCTAGTTGCGGCGAGCAGGGGCCACTCTTTGTTGTGGCGCGCGGGCTTCTCATTGCGGTGGCTTCTCTTGTTGCGGAGCACGGGCTCTAGGCACATGGGCTTCAGTAGTTGTGGCTCGGAGGCCCTAGAGCGCGGGCTTAGTAGTTGTGGCGCATGGGCTTAGTTGCTCCGCGGCATGTGGGATCTTCCCGGACCAGGGCGCGAACCCATGTCCCCTGCATTGGCAGGTAGATTCTTAACCACTGCGCCACCAGGGAAGTCCCTGCTGTGTCGTTTTTCATGTTTGTTTGTTTTTTCCAGACATTCTTGAGGAAACCTTCACTGCCCTGGGCTATGAAGTCAAGCGTTTCTTATATCTCACTGTGGAAAATATAATGCACATTCTTGGCCAAGTTGCGCACATGCCCCAACACCAAGACTACGACAGCTTCGTGTGTATCCTGGTGAGCCGAGGGGGCTCCCAGAGCGTGTTTGGCGTGGATCAGACTCACTCAGGGGTCCCTTTGGATCATATCAGAAGGATGTTCATGGCAGATGCATGCCCCTCTCTCTCAGGGAAGCCAAAGGTCTTTTTTATTCAGAACTATGTGACGTCAGAGGGCCAGCTAGAGGACAGCAGCTTCCTGGAGGTGGATAGGCCATCAGTGAAAAGTGCAGAATCCAAGGCCAGGCAGCCCGGGGCCTGCGTGATTCACCGAGAAGCTGACTTCTTCTGGAGCCTGTGCAAAGCGGACGTGTCCCTGCTGGAGCGGTCCTCCCCTTCACCGTCACTGTACCTGAAGTGCCTCTCCCAGAAGCTGGGGAAAGAAAGGTGAGCCACCCAAGCTGTGGCGGATCCTGGCCCCAGTTGTTTATTTTCTGCTACCAGGATGGAAGTGCCACTGTGCCATATCTGATGCCCTCTTCTTCAGGGGGAGGGATTTTTCATTCCTTGTTGGGGTTGCCTTAGGTGTATGATAATAGACTCTGCACAGTTTATGAATGCTTTGTACTTCAGAAGGTCATATAGTAGTCAGCTTGTGGTTTGGATATTTTCCTTCAAAATTAAGAAATGTTTTTTTTTCTTATTACAAAAGCAATACATACTCCTTACTGAACATAGATCATGAGATATAGATGCTGAAAGCAGAACATAACAAGCAGTTATAATCCTACTTAGTAGAACTAATCTGTTAACCAAATCTTGGTGTGTTGCCTTCCAGATCTTTTTTGGATACTGATACAATCATATATAAAGATTTTTTTAAGCCAAAATGAAATCATAATCTACTGTTACTTTATAACCTGCTTTTAGTTTGTGCAACAGTATATTTTTACATGTCAGGAATCACATTTTTATGGCATCGTTTTATTTTATTTATTTGCTTAAAAATTTATTTAATTATTTATTTATTTTTGGCTGAGTTGGGTCTTCGTTGCCGCGTGCAGGCTTTTTCTCTAGTTGCAACGAGCGGGGGCTACTCATTGTGCAGGTTTCTCTTGTTGCGGAGTACCGGCTCTAGGCATGCAGGCTCAGTAGTTGTGGCTCGCGGGCTCTAGAGCGCAGGCGCAGTAGTTGTGGTGCATGGGCTTTGTTGCTCCACGGCATGTGGGATCTTCCCGGACCGGGGCTCGAACCCGTGTCCCCTGCGTTGGCAGGCAGATTCTTAACCACTGTGCCACCAGGGAAGTCCCTATAGTATCATTTTAATGTTTGCAGAGCAGTCCTTAATATGGCTATAGCATAATTTACTTGGCCAGTCTTTAGTTGTTGGGCAATGTTTTACTTTCACAAAAAAGAAAGCGTTCAACGTCTTTGTAGCTCAGTATTTGTGCTTATTCTTAATTGTTTTCTTGAAGGGAAAATTCCCAGAAGTGGAATTACTGTGTTGAATGACAAGCATTTTTAAAGCCTCTGATGCATCTCGTCAGATTGTCCTCTAGGACAGTTAGACCAGCTTTTTGTTTTTTGACCACGCCACGCAGCTTGCAGGACTTCAGTTCCCAGACCAAGGATTGAGCCCGGGCCCCTGGGAGTGAGAGCGCCGAGTCCTAACCACTGGACCCCAGGGAATTCCCATAGATCAGCTTTTATGAGAGAGTCTGCATCCCTGAATTCTCACTGATACCGTGTGCTCGTTTATTTCCCCAAGTCTTGAGGTTGATAGGTGAAAAATGGTACTTAGCTATACAGGTCTGCCAGTCTTTGTTTTTGATGTTTATTGGCAAGGATACTTTTCTAAGGGAAACGTTGGTGACCTGGTGTCCATCTGGGATGAGGGAAGCCTCACCGTACCTCAAATGTAAGATTAGCAGTCCCTTTTCTGTTGCCCCCCAATCACAATTTAGAATTTCTCTGAGTCACCTGTGAAAGGCATCTGTTGTAGCTTGGGGGACCCCAGGAATAAATCTCAGGGCCTGGGACCCCTAGCCTCCTCAGGGATGGCAGAGCAAAAAGGGAGGGCTAGAGCAGGGGCAACTCAGCCTTCCAAGGTACATACACCACGGGCCAACGGTATTATTGGCCTTTTACATCCATCCTGCATTTGCATGGATGATCCAGATGGGTTATCATCTGGCTGGTGTGTACCCAGACTAAAACTCAGTTGCCCCTGTGGGTGGGGACTGTGGTCATTGGGTCAGAGTGCTGCAAACCTGTTTGGATCACTTGCTAAGCAGCTTGTAGAATATTTAGAAAGGAACAATTTTAAAGCACTTTCATATCTGTTAGCTGATGTCAACCTAATGCTAATCTGTCTCCTCGTTGATATTTGCGTGGGATTAATTTTTGCCTTTCTCATCCCCTCCAGAAAACACTCACTCCTGGAACTCCACATTGAACTCAACAGCAAGGTGTATGATTGGAACAGCAGAGTGTCTGCTAAGGAGAGGTACTGTGTCTGGCTGCAGCACACTCTGAGAAAGAAACTCATCCTCTCTTGCAAATGAAAAGCCAAAGACCCTTCTTAGCTTTGCAGTCTCCATCGCTAGCCAGAAAGACAAACATTTATTTCTCACAGTTCTAGAGACTGGGAAGTCCAAGATCAAGGTGCTTATAGATCAGGTGTCTGGTGAGAACCCGCCTCCAGGTTAGCAGATGACCCTCTTGTTGTATCTTCACATGGCAAAGAGAACAGAGAGAAAGCAGGCTGTCTTGTGTCTCTTCTTGTAAGGGCACTGATCTTATTCATAGGGGCTGCCCTGTCATGAACTAATCACCTCCCAAAGGCCCCACCATCTAATACTATCATATTGGGGGACAGGATTTCAACCTATAAATCTGGGGGTGGACACAAACATTCAATTTAAAACAGTGGCTTTCTGATCTGAGGTTGCTTCTCTGTCTAGGACTCACATGGCATTCTACAGTAATCAGTATACCTTTCCTCCTTGGATTTGAAAGCATGACCTAAAAGAATATTATTGTTTAAAATATTATTTAAAGGGACTTCCCGGGTGGGCCAGTGGTTAAGACTCCGTGCTTCCACTGCAGGGGGAATGAGTTCAATCCCTGATTGGGGAACTAAGATCCCACATGCTGAGGCACGGCCAAAAAAAATCACTTGACGTGAAAAGAAAACTTATTTATATATTTTTAAGTTGGTTTTAAGTGGTATGTATCTGTGTGGGTATGTTTATATGTGTTTTCACATGATCACTCAACAAAGGCTGTAAAGTATGAAAGGAACAGTTTTCAGACACTTCATACACTTATTTCTACTTTAAAAGTAATTTTCTATCCTTGTATTAATGAATGTGGGACTCCTGAGGGTGTCTTTGAATTTCACATTGCTGGGGGCACCAGCAGGAACAATGTATATGCTTGGACTCGTGAACCAGAACCCTGTGTTAAGTATTAGAGAGGGAAACTGTTTGTGAGGGATCTTAATGACCTGGCAGCTTTTGCATCCTTCTCTGTCCCATCCTGACCAGGTGACAGGCATTTTCCGTATTCTGTTTCCTATCATGGATGAGAATTGCACCTTTTCTTTTACCTTGGAAATGGGATCACCACCCCTCTTGAAAAATGTCATTTATCTTCTTTGACTCACAAAAAAACTGGAAACATAAAACAGAAGCAGAGTATTTATTTATATTACTTTTTAGTTTTATATATTTTTATATATTATTAAGATAACTTATATTTGCATTAAATATAAAAACAAGAGGGACCTTGAAGTCATTATGCTAAGTGAAATAAAAGACAAATACCAAGCATTATATGCTCTCATTTATATGTGGAATCTACAAAACAAAAACATAAACAAAACAAGCCAAACTCATAGAAAAAGAGATCAGGCAGTGGTTACTGGAGGTGCGGGAAGGGAGTAATTGGAGGAAGGTGGTCAAAAGGCACAAATTTCCAAAAAAAAAGAAAAAAAAAAAGACTCTCTAAGCACGGGTAAGCACCTGCAGTGCATTGTCCAATGTGAGGCTGAAATATCAGATTCTTGATGTAGGCCCCGATTTATCCCACACCTAAGCTATGTTTTACAAAAACTGAACATGATGAATATGAGAGTTTTAGTTAGAGAGGGTTTAGGAGCAGCTACAGTCTGTAATCCCATGAGCTATAACCTGTGAAATTGATAGAGAATATGGTAGAGGTAAACCAGAGATGGAAGAAAGGCTTTAGAAATGGAATGAGAGAGAACAAAAGACAGTCAGCTATGTGATATACAATAATAAGTCCTACAAGATGGGTGTGATGGATGGAATGCAAGCAGGTTTAGTGTATAAGTGTGATTGACAGTGAAGAATTAAAGTTTAGGATATGGCATATTGTGACATTAGGTTTTCAATAAGTAATATAATGACACCTGACAGCTATAATCTCTCGAAAATTCACATCAAATGATGTTCATTCCAATAATTAAAAATAAATTAAAAATTTACAAAAAGAAAAGGGGACAAACTTCCAGTTGTAAGATAAATAAGTACTAGGGGTATAATGTACAACATGATGACTAGAGGTAACACTGCCGTGTGACACATAGGGAATTTGTTAAGAGAGTAAGTCCTAAGGGTTCTCATTACAAGGAGAAAAATTTTTTTTCCTTTTTTCTTTTCTTTTTAGTGTATACATATGAGACAGTGAATGTTAGCTGACCCTATTGTGGTAATCATTTCACAATATATATAATCATCACCTTGTATACCTTAAACTCATACAGTGATGTATATCAATTATTTCCCAGTAAAATGGGGAAAAAAAGATTTGAAAAACACAATCGTATCAAAATGTTTTAGATGCAAGTAAGAGAAGACCTAACTTAAAACAAAAAGTTTTAAAAAAATTTGTTTACTCTTACTAAACAACAGGTTCAGAGGTAGGGGGGTAGTTGCTGGCTTGGTTAATTCATTGGCCCAACAATGTCCTCAAGGGTTTGATGCTTTCCACCTTTCTTCTCTGTAGTCTCAGGGTTTGGGCTTTTATTTTCAAATTTGTCATCTAAAGGTCACAAGAGGGCCACAGGTCCAAGTATCATACCCAAACACACAAGAGAAAACATCTCTTCCTTGTGTGGCTTCTTAAGATCAAAGGAAAAATCTCCCAGAAGCTCTCCTCCCCAAGAGTTCCCTTCCCTCACTTCTCATTGGCTAGAATCACATGATATGTTCTTCCTTAAACCAACCATTGGCAGAGGGAATGGGATTACCATGGTTGGTTTATACCAGCCCAGACTCAGTTCCCTGGGACTGGGGTTCAGTGGCTTCAGCTCCCTTGGGCACATGGTCTCCAAAAGCTGGGGTTCTTTTAGGGAAAAATGGGGCATGGAGCTTCCCTGGGGAGTAGTTAACCATAATGTATGCCAAAAAGAATGAGAACCTCCATTTTATGATTGAAGAAACTGAGGCACACAGCTTTTAAGTGAGCTGTTCCCAAATCTCAGAGAAAATCATTGGTAGTGCCAGGTCTAGAATGTTAACAACCAGCCTTACGATCTGGTGTCCTCCAGAAATTAGAACAAACTTTGGAAGATGTGTAGCATGCATTCCAGGGAAGGCATCATACTCCTCTCTCAGCTGTTTGTGAGAGTCATTACCCTACCTTTCCAGCCCCACCCTTTTCCCCCCGCAGAGAGGCAGCATGACTACATAGCTTTCCGTATCCCATCTGATGGACACGGTGAAAATACAGAGCCTGTTAAATCACCATCTTTTCTTTCCTCCTCTTTTAAAAAGCAATTATTTATTGGGACTTCCCTGGCGGTCCAGTAGTTAAGACTCCACGCTTCCACCACAGGGGGTTCAGGTTCAATCTCTGGTCCCTGGTCAGAGAACTAAGATCCCACATGCGCCCCCCCAAAAAAACCCAAAAACAAAACAAACACACAAAAACAAAAAATATATATTTATTAAATTATATTGTGCTGTTTACTTTTGTCACTTTTCTGTCTTTAGATTACTTTATTTTTATTAATACCATTCATCAGTCAAGCCGCAGGTGCCAAGGAAAAAGAGTGCTAAGGGTTTGCTTGTGTGTTTTGCTCACTGGAAAGGGGTATGGGGTGGAGTAAAGAGGGACTTTGATTCCAGGAGCAGGCCAACAAGATGGGAGGAATAAAGCCTTGCCTTCCCTTGCCTACTTCGCAGAATTGTTCTGAGGATGAAATGAGAGAGGCTTTATGATCATACCCAATGAGAGTTTTTATGACTGCACTGGTGATGCCATGCGAACATAGCTGTTATTATTATAGCACACTATGGAGGAGTTATTTTGAAAAGGTTGAATCAAACCTTGAAAATTGGTAGGATTTTGGCAGGTTGAGGTGGAGAAGAGAATACATTGCAGGAGAAGAAACAAAGCAAACGAAGGGTCAGATAAGGGAAATGTAAGGCATGTTTTAAAAACCATGAGTGTAACTTTTATCTGGAGTAGAGAGAATGTGAGCAATGGTGAGTGATAAGCCAGGAGGTGCCTGTGGTTTGGCATGTGAAGAGCTGTAAAGACCCCCATCTCTGTCTTTTAGTCAGCTCTCATGTAAGTTATTTTGTGAGTTATTTTTCTCACTTTAATAGTGGAGTCTACAACTACTTCTTTGACATTTTTGTGTATATGAGCAATTTGATTACTAAATGCCTTATTCTTTTTCATTGAGTATAGTTTTTAAATGAAATATTTAAGGCATGCTAAAGGAGAATTATATTAGGCAACAATATAATGAATACATACCCACAACCCAGCTTAAATGAAATGTTCTAAAATCTATATGAAGACTCTGAAGATACTGCTTTAAGTAATAGCCCTAAATATAAAAGAGATAAATGTATTAAAATATTTAAAACTTTATAATAGCCCCCAACTGAAAATTCGTCAAGTGTTTAGTAACAGGAGCATGGTTATGATAAAACGTCCACTGGTTGGAATTTTATGTAACCGCTAAACTTATATATACAAATAATAAAGGCTTACATAAGCTGTTCTTAGCTCATTACATGAATTATCTCATTTAATCCTCAAAACAGCTCTTTGAGGTAGGTATTATTGTCCTCATTATTATTTCTTCCCATTTTATAGATGAGGAAAGTGAGCAAAGGGATGCTAAGTAGCTTGTCCTTGGTCACCCCAGCCTAGGATATAAACTCAAGCCATAAACAGAGCCTTTATTTTTATAGCTAAGTACGTTTAAAGCAAAACAGGACTTCCCCGGAGGTCCATTGGTTAAGGCTGTGCGCTTACAATGCAGGGGACATGGGTTCGATCCCTGCTTGGGGAAGATCCCACATGCCGTGTGGTGTGGCCAAAAACAAACAAACAAAAAACCCAAAAAATATGTCTCACAGGAAAACAAAAGGCCGGAAAGAAATATTCCAAAATATGGATGACAGAACTATGGCTGGTATCTTTTCTTTCTGTGTTCCAAATCCTCTTTTCTATCTCTGTATATTTAAACATACTGGTCTCTAAAGTAACGTCTAGGTAATTCCTCCAACTTTTTTAAAAAAACATTTATTTATTTATTTATTTATTTGGCTGTGTCAGGTCTTAGTTGCGGCATGAGGGATTTTTAGCTGTGGCATGCATGCAGGATCTAGTTCCCTGACCAGGGATCAAATCCAGGTACCCTGCATTGGGAGCGTAGAATCTTAACCACGGGACCACCAGGGAAGTCCCTCTATCAGCTTTTGACCAGCTGGTTCTTTGGTACTGAAGGGACTACTCTTTCCTATAGTTCTGCCTTCACTTCTCTGTCTCATCTCTAGCCCTTCTTTTCAGTAGCAGGACCCGTGGTCTCAGGGCTGCTTTTCTGGGCCACTGGTTAGGAGGACTGTCTCGTCAACCCCAGTTCCATTCCAGTCCCCAAAGCCTTCCATCCTCTTCCATGAATAGGCCATGGTAGGGGTCACTTGACAGCTTTTTCTGTCTGCAGTGTTTGAAATGGGAATCTCTTCTCCCATATTCTAGGAGCAAGTTTTCAGGATTAAGCATGTTACTTATGCCACCAAGAGGTCACAATTTGAGGTCAGTCTTGTCAATTTGTCTGTGTGGCAGACCCTGCTCACTGTCCCAAACATCCATTCTCTTTTTCTCTAGTAATAGAAGTCTTAATTTGAAACTGGGCACACAGCCTCACGGAATACAGTCTAGCTGTCCAAGCCTTAACTTGTAGCAAGATGTGGTCATGTGTCTAGTCCTGGAAAATAATATGTAAGCAGTGGTATTGTTTGGCAATTGCTGAGAATTTTTCTTAAAAGGCAACTGTTTTTTGCCCTTCACCCCTTTGTCCCTTTTTCTGTCTTAGTGACTAGACTGCATATGTGATGGCTGGAGCTCTAGCTGCCATCTTGAATTGTGAGGATAAGAGCCACACTGTAGGGATGACCAAGTGGTGAACAGGAAGGAGCCTTGTTGGGTGAAGACATTAAGAAGCAGGGTCACCATACCAACCCTAGATTACCTACATCTGGACATTTATGTGAGAGAAAAAAATGTGGGATTTACATTTCTTTTAACCTAACCTAGTCTGACTGGTACATTGTTATTTGATTAAAGTGTTTTTTTATGTTTATGCATGTTGTAAGTTTAAAATAAATATTTGCCTAGGCAATCATTTTAATTTTTTAATTATTGTTTAAAAATGTATGTATGTATTGTTAAAAAATGTAATGTTAACACCTGAGCTGACCTAAGTTTTTAGTATGTATGATGCTCTCATTTATTTCCTTTTATAGTTTTGTGGTTTCTGTTGGAGAGATGGAGACGCTTTATTAAGACATTAGTAGGATTTGGACACTGTCCTCATGAGAGATGTAATCCACAAGGAAAAGTTCTGACTGAATCATCAGTATAGACCAGCTTTTGGACCTGGTTTACAGTGAATAAGAGTTTGAAAGATACATACACAAAACTGAATATAAAGAAAAAACAGTAGCACTTCCCTGGTGGTGCAGTGGTTAAGAATCCACCTGCCAAGGCAGGGGACACAGGTTCGAGCCCCAGTCTGGGAAGATCCCACATACCGCAGAGCAACTGAACCTGTGCACCGCAACTACTGAGCCTGCGTTCTAGAGCTTGCGAGCCACAACTACTGAGCCCACGTGCCACAACTACTGAAGCCCGGGCACCTAGAGTCCGTGCTTCACAACAGGAGAAGCCACTGCAATGAGCAGCCCGTGCACTGCAACTAGAGAAAGCCCACGCACAGCAATGAAGACCCAACACAGCCAAAAATAAATAAATATTAAAAAAAAAACACAACAACAAAAAAAGAAGAAACAGTAACTCTGCACATATGTTTAGGATCGCCACAGATAATGACTCCAAAGGACTCACTGCTTGTAAATCCACAATTTCTTGTTTCCCAGCCAGACCCTTCCTTGCCTACAGTAGCTCCAGAGATGGAAATGTAGCATTCAGTCAAGGCCATTAAATGTAATGACTGATTTTTCAAGAACCTGCCCTCTCTATTCCAAGAAACACTTCCTCTGCTTCTCCTTCTTGTGCCATACCAAAGCTGCAAGACCCATGGGTCCAGGCTTTTCCACTTTGGCTCTATCACACACTTAATAAGCAAACATTCAAGAAATACAAATTCTTTTCAATAAATGCCTCTGCAATATCGGCTGGTATACACTAAGTATCACAGATTAATCCAACTCCCCACAAGGGTCACCTAAAAGGTAGATTACAGGTGAACAAGTAGTCCTATATACATGCTTATAGCTGTAGGCACAGCAGACAAAAAGTGGAAACAACTCAAATGTCCATCAGATGAATGGATAAACCAAATATGGTATATCCGTACAATGGAAAGTTATTTATCTATAAGAAGGAATTAAGTACTGATATAGGTTACAATGCAGATGAACCTCAAAAACGCTATGCTAAGTGAAAGAAGTCAGACACAAAAGGTCACATATTGTATGACAGTATTTATATGAAATGTCCGGAATAGGTAAATCCATAGAGACAAATAGCAGATTGGTGGTTGCCAGGGACTGGGGTGAGAGGGGATTGGGGAGAGACTGCTTAAGGGGGACAAGGTCTCCTTTGAGGTTCTTGAAATGTTTTGGAACTAGATAGACGTAATGGTTGCACAACATTGTAAATGTACTAAAAGCCACTGACTTGTACACTTTAAAATAGTACATTTTATGCGGATTTCACCTCAGTTTTTAAAAAAAGGGAAAAAAAGAGAAGATTAAGATCATTTATTAATTGCTCCACAAACATTTCTCCCCAACCTTTTTTCTTTTTAATAAACATTATTTTTAAGAGTAACTTTAGGTTTGCAGAAAATTTGTGCAGAAAGTACAGAGTTTCCATATAGTCCCCCATGCCCCACAATTCTCCTCCTATTAACACCTTGCATTATTGCAGTACATTTTTACAGTTGATGAACAATATTGATACATTAGTATTAAACGAAAGTCTACTAGGGTTTACATTAGGGCTCATTCCATGTTGTATAGTTCCTGGTTTTGACAACTGCATAATGTCACGTATGCACCATTACTGTATCATACAGAATAGTTTCACTGCCCTAAGAATCCTTTGTGCTCCTCATATTCATCCTTCTCTCTCCCTAAGCCCCTGGCAACTGCAGATCTTTTTATTTTCTCTATAGTTTTGCCTTTTCCGGAATGCCATACATTCTATAGCCTTTTCAGACTGACTTCTTTCACTTAGTGATATGTGTTTAAAATTCCTCCACGTCGGGTTTCCCTGGTGGCACAGTGGTTAAGAATCCACCTGCCAATGCAGGGGACACGGGTTCGAGCCCTGATCCAGGAAGATCTCACATGCTGTGGAGCAACTAAGCCCGTGAACCACAACTACTGAAGCCCACGCGCCTAGAGCCTGGGCTCTGCAGCAAGAGAAGCCACCGCAATGAAGAGTAGCCCCCGCTCACCGCAACTAGAGGAGGTCTGTGCGCAGCAATGAAGACCCAATTCAGCCAAAAATAAATAAATAAAATAAGTTAATTAAAAAAAATTCCTCCATGTCTTTTCATATCTTGATAACTCATTCCTTTTTATTGCTGAATAATACTTCATTGTGTAGATATACCAGAGATTGTTCATTCACCTACCGAAGGCCATCTTGGTGGTTTCCAAGTTTTGGCATTATGAATAAAGCTGTTACAAACACATTTGTGTGCTGATTTTTTTTTTTTTTTTTTTTTTTTTTTTTTTT